TCTTAAGCAACAAACCAGCCAAAGGCATACCACGCTACCCGTTAAACAAAGCAGTAAGAACAAACCCGTCCCAACCCATTCTTTAAAATAGGATACAGCAGAAGCAATCCAATCAGTAAACTGTCCAAAGCTAATCGGCTCTACGCGGGTGCCATTGAGCAAGGCAATCTTTAAAAGCTGGCCCCAGATCATTTCCTCTGCCTCCCTTTTCCAATGGCCAGACAAGTACTGTCCCAGGATCTCCGATTCATTTTTTGAATTGTTGTATCTTAGTGGGGTTGCACACAAATGTTTATAATGCAACACACATCCCACCTGCACCAGGTCTGTCAATTCCTCAATTTGTACCTGTAACAAGTCTATCCTTTGGTTAACAGCTAGCAATCCCGAAACTAAATGGCTATTAAACCTGTTTTCTGACTCCAATATTTGGGCCGTCTGTTCCACAATGTTGTTGACCGTCTCAGCTGTTTGAACCTGATTAGCCATTGCTACCCCTGCAGCTATTGCCGCTCCCGCACTAACAGCCACCGCGGTGACTATAGCAGCAGTAATTCCAAAATCCCTCTTTCCTCTAAGCAGGGACAGCAATGGAAAGTTCTTAGGGTCAACCTCAACAGGTATAGGCACAAAAGTGGGTACTTTCATGATTACAGCAATATTGCTAGAGCCATTCCAACATTCTGACAACCAACATGATTCCTCAGCACAGTTGATGGCATTTTGGGTGGCATTATTGGCCAATAGAAACATGTAGGGTGGCAACATACAAACCGGAGTAGCTTTCTCAGACCAACTAGAAAGGTCCCGCAGCACAGTAATATTGCGTAATTGTCTCTTTCCTGAACTAAAATAAACAGCCTTCCCAGAAGCATTTCTATAAAGCGTAGTTATGCCAAAGAGTTGAGATAAAGCAGAAATGTTAGCAGTAGCTCCTGCATTATTAGCTAACAACCATTGGTACCAAGGCCATCCAGGGCCCACAGTGTCATCACCAGTTTCTCCAAAAACTCGTCTTTTTAGAGCAGGGGAAAAAGAAAACCCAGGGGCAATCTGGCCCCTTTCCCATGACTGGTCTTGACACTGAATGAAATAGGGTGGAAACCCAGGAGACCCCTGGCAAAAAGGGGAGGCTTTGAAACGGGTGACATTTCCCCATTCCTTTTGGAAGAGGGACTTCATGGGTGTCAACATTTGGGACTGAATCAACACCGTGGTTACCTTCAAGGATACCGTAGAATTATCAGTCAGCTGCCCTTCCCCATGGCTTATCCCCTGACTAATCTGAGTAAGTGTCTTTTGTAGAGCATCCACTGACCCATAATATTTATAGGGATCTTCCCAATATGTCAAGTTTTTTCTTCCAAGTCTGAGGCAAGTAACATTGGGCCCAAGGGAAAGGCAGAAGGTCCCATTGAGCTGTACCACAGTACGGTTGTATGTGATCATCTCACTGTCCCTGGGGACCACGCAGGGAAGCTCCAACTCACCACATTCTGCCGAAAACAATGTAGGAAGCACCGGCGAGTCAGCATATAAGGGCATGGGCACCGGCCAGGCCCTAGTGACAGCCCAGAGTCTCATCCGCTCCGCGAGGCACAGGCTCCACGTTGTCAAGAGTATCATCACCGGCCACCGAATCCAAATCACCCTGATCATTATCATGGTCTTGCGTCTGGCCTACTGTCACTGCAACAGTTCTTGTCAATCTCGTAGGGACCCAGTGAGGCACCTCTTGATCCTGTGGGAAAACACAGACAACTCCCCTGGATCTCGTGACCACCGGATCTGGTCCATACCATTTATTATCAATAGCATCCTTCCACATGACCAGATCCTCGGCGGCCATAGGGTCTCTTATCCCATGCCGATCTGCAGCTGACTGATCTTTATCATTCAAGATTAGAAAATTAAGGGTAAAAAGTGCAAGAGAAAGCCTTTCCCTGGGGGATGCTGACTCAGCAATTCCCCCTTTTTGTTTTTGAAGCATTTCTTTTATGCTTCTATTAGCTCTTTCTACTATACCTTGTCCTTGAGGATTGTAGGGCAATCCGGTGGTGTGGGCCACCTGCATTTGTGCGCAGAAGGTGCGAAAACCATGGGAAGTATAAGTGGGGCCATTATCCATCTTAAGCCTAAGGGGCTTTCCCCAGGCTGCCCAGGCTTCTAAGCAGTGTATTTTGACATGAGACACCTTTTCTCCTGCCAGAGGTGTAGCATGAATGACACCGGAAAAAGTATCGACAGATATGTGTAAATACTTTAATTTACCAAATTCTGTTAAATGAGTTACATCCATTTGCCATAGGACGTTTGGTCTCAACCCCCTGGGGTTTATCCCCACATGGAGAGGATGAAGAAAGGTAACACAAGATTTACAGGCTTTAACAATATCTCTTGCCACATGCCTAGACAAATTATATTTTTTCCTAAGGGTATTTGCGGGTACATGATACAATTTATGAAAGTCCTTTGCCAATTCTACAGGATTAGCAGCAACCACAGCCACAGCCCGAGTTGCCTGGTCCACCAGATCATTACACCTTGCCATCGGGCCCGGCAACATTGAGTGGGCACGAATATGTCCAATATAAAAGGGGTGCTTTCTATTTAAAATAAGGGATTGAATCTGTAACAAAACATTAGAGATTGTACTGGCTTGTTTAATTGAAGCCGCGACCTCAAGAAAAGCAACGGCATTTACAACATATAGTGAGTCAGAAAACAAGTTAAAAGGTTGACTAAATCTTTTGAAAACTTCAAGTACGATCAAGCATTCAAAGGCCTGTGGAACATTTGGGCGAAAATTAAAGATCACCGGCTGTTTGTGCCCTTGAACAAAAAAGGCACCTTGTCCAGATTTGGATCCATCCGTAAAGATGGTTAGGGCGCCAACCAGAGGCTCCTTAGAACTAATGACAGGAAAATACACTAGGTTTTTACTAACAATGGCAAGCAGCGGATGTTTAGGATAATGATTATCAATCACATTAGGAAACGAGCAAACAAGAACTGTCCACATATCCACTGTATGCGGCCAAAATTTCAACTTGTTCGCGGGTATATGGAATAATCAGTTTATCTGGAACCTTTGCAAAGTGTGCCAAACAATATTTGATCCCCAAAAGTGCTTGCCTGGCCACTAATTCAGGAAAGTATTGAACTGTCTTTGCTCCCACTGAATTGCCATGCAGCCACCACAAGGGGCCACTTTGCCATAGAACCCCCGTGGGATAATTTTTTGTTTTTAATATACATAAACTAATAGGTAATTCTGGATTAACCCGCGAAAGCTGAGCCCTAGACAAAGCTGCCTCAATTTTTTGTAGGGAATTTAGTGCCAAAGGTGTCAGGGACCTCGAGGAGGTGACTCCAGGGTCACCTTCCAGAATGGCAAACAAAGGTAACAACTCTGACCTAGGGAGATTAAGAAATCCCCTTATCCAATTAATGTCTCCGGCCAGCTGCTGAAAATCATTAAGTGTTTTAAGATGACCAGTTCGAATGGAAAGTTTTTGTGGTTTGATCTCAATGGGGGAAACAACAGTTCCCAGAAATTGGACAACACTAGTCTGTTGAACCTTTTCAGGGGCAATAATTAATCCCTTATCAGCTAAGGTCTTTGTTATCTGTCCAAACACCTCATGAAGAATCTTAACCGAGGGAGCAGCCAACAAAATATCATCCATATAATGGATAATCCGTACTTTTGGAAAATTTTTTCTAACGGGGGTCAACGCCGCCCCCACAAACAATTGACAAATTGTTGGGCTGTTGGCCATCCCTTGGGGGAGAACTCTCCACTGATAGCGAGCATCCGGGGTTTCGTGATTAACGGAGGGCAAGGTAAAGGCAAAGCGTTCCCTATCCTTTTTATAAAGAGGAATGGAAAAAAAACAATCCTTAATGTCTAAAGCTAAGATAGGCCACTCCCGGGGCAAGGCAGAGAGCAATGGAAGACCCCTTTGAATAGGTCCCATAATCTGCATCTGGGCATTTACTGCTCTAAGATCATGTAATAACCTCCATTTTCCGGAGGCCTTTTTAATCACAAAAATCGGGGTATTCCATGGTGACACTGAGGGCTCAACATGTCCCAGCTGCAGCTGTTCCCGGACAAGAGCTTGAGCTGCTTCCAATTTCTCTTGAGAGAGGGGCCACTGGGGGACCCAGACCGCCTTTTGTGTTAACCAGGGTATGGGCACCGCACCTTTAGTGGAAGCTTTGTTTTCAGGGGCCCCTAAGAAAAACCCAGACCCTTTCTGTCCTGCTTAGGGACTGGCTCTATTGGCTCCTTGCGTCCTTGGAGGCATCGACCTAGCCCCAAGGCTGGAACAAACCCTTGGTGCTTCATCATATTTTGACTGAGTAATCGTTGGTTAAAGTTAGTTTAAGCTGGTGCTGTACATCTCTTCCCCAAAGATTAACAGGGACGTCTACTACAAATGGCTGCATTTTTCCAACCTGGCCTTCGTCCGTTCTCCAAGTCAATTCTTTTGCACTTAACTATGGGGCATCAGCATAGCCCAGCCCTTGCAAGGTCTGGGAGGATTTTTGAGTTGGCCATTGCTTTGGCCACTCCCCTCTTTGGATGATGCTTCTATCTGCCCCTGTATCCACCAGTCCCTCAAATCTTTTCCCTTCCACTTGGAGAGTTAGCATGGGTCTTTGATCTAGCGTAATGGACAGGCATGCAAGGTCTACTCCAGTAGAGCCTAGCCCTTTATCTCCTCTCTTTATCTCCTTGGCAGGGAAGTTATCATGAAGAGAAGGCAAAAGCAGGAGCTGTGCAATTCTATCTCCGGGAGAGATGGACACCACTCCACGGGGAACATGACAAAGGACCTTGATAGTTCCCATATAGTCAGGGTCAATTACTCCTGGGAAAATTATTAAGCCCTTTATTGTGGAGGAGGAGCGTCCTAAAACTATTCCTACAGTGCCTTTATCTAGGGACCCTGTCATGTCCGTCTCCACCACCTGGACTCCCATCTGCTGTGTCAATACCAGTCCAGAGGTGGCACAGAGGTCCAACCCTGCGGAGCCTGAGGTTGCTCTTTTTGGCTGGGGGATTGTGGTAGGTGCTGTTTGGAAGCCGGAATTTGAAGTGCCCCATAGATTTTTGGGCCCTGGGGACGAGGGCCCCTCTCCCCGTTTTTTGGCCCTTGTTCTGGATCAGTGGCTGGGATGGCTTGCGGGATGGGGTGTCCATTGATGTCCCTGACTGACCTGCACTCATTGGCCCAATGCTTTCCCTTCTTACAGCGAGGGCACACTCCTGGAGTTCTTGGCGGTTTGGGAGTGTTTTGCGCAGGACCACCATTTTGCGGGCACTGCCGTTTAAAATGCCCCAACTGACCACACCGGAAACATCCTTTTCCTTTATTTTCCTTTGTGGCCCGGGCGGCTGACAGAACAGCAGCCGCCAGTCCCGCATTGGTCAGGGGACCACCCACCTCCCTACAGGCTTTTAGCCACGCCTCCAGGCTTTGAGTTCTGACAGGGGTGATTGCTCTCTGACACTCCTTGGTGCTTTGTTCAAAAATGACTTGTTGTATCAATGGCATAGCTGCCTCTAAGTTTCCCAACATTCTCTCGGCTGTTTCCAACATTCGGGTGACAAAGTCAGAGAATGGCTCGTTAGGGGCTTGAGTAATTTTTGTTAGGTTGCCAGCCGTTTCTCCCTTATTCGGGAGGGCTCGCCAGGACTTGTAAAAGAGAGTGTTTACTTGTCGATACACTTCAAAGGGGTGTCCTGTTTGATCTACAGTAAAGGGCCCCTGCCCAAGAAGCATATCTACAGTCCAATCCGGATGCCCATCACGAACATTTTGTCTATACTGGGCTTGTGCCTTGTCCTGGACAATAGACCGGAAGTCAAGGAACTGCCCGTGATTAAGACAGGTACGGGCTACCTCAAACCAGTCCGTGGGCGTCATAGCATTAACAGTCAGTCTTCGGAGCAAGGCTGTGGTATAATTAGCCGTTACTCCATACATTTTTACCGCCTCCACCAAGTCTTTTAACTGGGAATAGGAAACGGGCTCAAAAATCCTTTCATTAGCAATGGGGCTCTCAAAAACTGGGAAAGCGGCCGCCAATCTTGACCAGGTACGTCCCTTTATGAAATGACTTCGCCCCATTTCCGGATATGGGGGAGGGGCTGACGGGCAAGGGCCGCCCGGATCGCGCCCTCTCGGTTGTGGTTGTGCTTTTGCCGTTAGTACACGCCATTCCCCATACCTGTCTGCCTCGTACTCTGCCGCCGCCCTTTCCAGATCATCAAAATCATCTGGATCAAGCTGACTCTCCTCTCCCTCTGACTCTCCCCCTTCTGAGTGACTTGCAAAGTCACCCTGTTGGTCCTGTCCCTCCACATGCAGGGCAGAAAACCGGTTAGAAAATTCCTTCAAGGAAGGGTATAAATCTCTTTTTGCAATTTTTTCCTTGGGGGCTTCGTGAGAGCACTGTTCAGTTATCTTATGTGAGGGCTGTAACCCCTCCTCCTGTTTTACCACTCTAGGATCCTTTTTTCCTCTTTTCTTCTTTTGCTTAGGCCTTTTTTCTTCCCCTTTATTGGACGCTGATTCTGAGAGACTATCCTGGTGTTGCATAAGCACCTTACGTCCTTCCAGAATTATATCGGACCCACCTTCCTCAAGGCAGGTGCGGACCATCCGCCAGAGAGGGAGAGTGGCACCAGTTATCTGGTCTTCTTCCTGGGCCCTAGTCAAATCCTTGCCCAGCTTATCCCAGCATGGAAGGGTGAGATCCCCGGAGACTGTGAACCAGGGCGCATGCTTGTCAAAATCGCCCAACACCTTCTCCACTGTACCTTTGGACACCTTTAACCCTCGCTGTCTTAACAGAGCTTGTAAGGGGGCATAAAAGTCCGCAGTACCACAGGAAACTCCCTGGCCATTACCCATAGCACACTCTTATGTATGAGCGACTTACGCCAAGGGCGAAAAACCACGTTATCTACCGTGGATTTACTTTAGTTTTAAGGTGTGAGGCTGTTAGCAGCGACACACCTTCCCAGGCTCCCCACAACGCAGGCAGACACAGAGCACCACCAAAAAGACAAACCACAAAGGAAGAAGCACTGCAAGCAACCAGTAATCTACAGTAAAAAAACAGCATACCTGGGGATACTTACCGACGTCTCCTCCCCGTGTGTTGAGTTCTGGCTCCTGTTCGGTCTCTCGCGTGGTTCCCGGTTTTCGGCACCACTTGCGACGAACGCCTTCTCGGCCAGCGAGGAAGAACGACCACCACACCAGGAGTCTTCTCAAATCACACTTTATTGGAGAGCTTTTGAGTTGATGGTTGAGCTTGAGCGAGAGACACCCAGGAAGCGAAGCCCTTCACCTATATATCGTCTTTGTGATGCGAGGCTGCATTTGATTGGCTGATCGCCCGTCACCTCACCCAGCTGCCCCAGGATAGGTGAAAAGCATCATGCGCAAAACTTGGGCCAAAGCTAGGAGCAAAAGGTTACCAAACATGGAGTTGTGTATCCCCAAGGTAGCACGGAAGTCAGCGCCATCTTGCAATGGCGTTTCCACTGGCTCCCTGCAAACCGACAAGGAGCAGACATCTTCATCCTGCAGTTCACAGACCAGAGACGACCCAGGAAACAAGACTCGGGGTGAGTAGAAGCCTGACGTCCTCACTCCTGCTCAGGGAGCAGAGGAGGGAAGGCCACCCCTTCCCCCCAGCACCCCAGAGGCCCAGGCCCCACCTACTGAGATCAAACTCCTAGGCCTTAATTTCAAATTGAGTCCAAGTACCTCATTTCCCTCCATTCCAAAACATACTTCAACCCTTCAGGGCAGGGGGAGAAAAGGCAAAGAAAAAAGATGCAAAAGTCTTGACAGCAGGTTAGACCATGCAGAAGATCAAATCTCAGGGATTGAAGACAGCCTAGATATTATAGAGAAAGAACATACAACCATCCAAGACAAACCCAAGAAATATGATCGATCTATCCAACACTTGGAAGACACCATCAGAAGGCCTAATCTAAGGATAATGGGAGTAGAAGTGCACCTAGAAACAGAAATTAATGGTCTAGGAAATTTGTTTAACAGGATCCTAGCAGAGAACTTCCCAAACATGCAAAAAGATAGGCCTATTCAGATACAAAAACTTTTAGAACCCCAAATAGACCAGACCAGAATAGGACATCCCACCGTCACATTATAATCCACACAGGATCAACTCAGACCAAGGAAAGGATCCTTAAAGCTGTCAAAGAGAAAAGACTAATCACCGATAAAGGGAAACCAATTAGAATCACCTCAAATTTCTCAGCAGAGACAATCAAAGCAAGAAGAGCCTGGAATGATGTATGCCATGCCCTAAAAGCAAACAACTATCAACCAAGAATACTATACCCAGCTAAACTCTCCTTCATAACTGAAGGCCATATAAAAACCTTCCATCGCAAAGAAAAATTGAAACAATACATCTCCACCAAACCAGCCCTACAAAAGATTCTTAAAGATGTCCTACACATAGAAAACCAACAAGACCACAATAAAATCCAAGAACCTGCACCCAAACTGAGAATCCAAGAACCATAGGAAGAACCCAGTTTTCGCATCCCCCAAGAAAGTGGATAACATGGCAGGAACTCCCAAATATCTCTCAGTCCTATCTATTAACGTTAACGGACATAACTTTCCAATTAAGCGAAATAGACTGTCTAGTTGGTTTAAAAAACAAGATCCTTCGATCTGCTGCTATCAGGAGTCACATCTTGCCTGTAAAAACAAACACATTTTAAATATTAAATGCTGGAACAAAATCTACCAAGCAAACTGTCCCCATAAACAGGCAGGAGATGCAATCCTAATATCAGATAAAATAGACTTCAAATTAAAATTCATGAGAAGAGATAAAGAAGGTCGCTACATACTAATTAACGGATCTCTCCTTCAGCAGGATATTACAATTCTAAATATCTATTCACCAAACAATGGAGAACCCAAATTTATCCAAGAAACACTACTTTCCCTCATATCCCACATAGTTCCAATGACATTTATTGTTGGGGATTTTAACACAACATTCTCCCCACTAGATAGACCAACTCCGCAAAAACTCAACATAGAAACCGCAGATCTAAACAGCTGCATAGATCAACTAGATTTAACAGACATCTATGGAACATTTCACCCAACAGCATCAAAATACAAGTTTTTCTCAGCAGCACATGGAATATTTTCTAAAATAGACCAGATTTTAGGCCACAAAGCAAACTTGTCCAAATTCAGAAACATTGAAGTTATCCCTTGCATTCTCTGGGCCCAAAACGGAATAAAATTAGAACTCAACACCAAAAGCCACTAAAGAAAGTCCGGTAACACATGGAGGCTGAACAACACACTGCTGAATCACGAGTGGGTCATGGAAAAGATTAGAAAGGAAATTCAAATGTTCATGCTATTCAACAAAAATGAGCACACAAATTACCAGCTCCTCTGGGACACAGCAAAGGCATTACTCAGAGGCAAGTTTATACCTCTGAGCTCCTACATCAACAAATTGGAGAGATCTGAAACTAACAATTTAATGACACATCTAAACCTCCTTGAAAAAGAGCAACAAGATAAACCCCAATCCAGTAGACAGAAAGAAATAATTAAAATTAAATCAGAATTAAATGAATTAGAATCCCAAAAAAACTATACAAAGAATCAACAAAACAAAGAGTTGGTTCTTCGAGAAAATTAACAAAATTGACAGACCCCCTAGCCAATCTTAGCAGAAAAAGAAGAGAACACATCCAAATAAATAAACTCAGAGATGAGAATGGAAACATCACCACGGAAACAACCAAGATTCAGAACATTATAAGGGAATACTTCACAAAACTTTATGCTCATAAGTTTGAGAACTTGAGAGAAATGGACCTTTTCCTAGAAAATATTGACATGCCAAAACTAAACCAAGATGAGTTAACCCATCTTAACAGGCCCATCTCAAGCATTGAAATAGAAACAGCAATAAGAGACCTCCCAGCTAAGAAAAGTCCAGGACCAGATGGATTTACAGCGGAATTTTACAAGGCCTTCAAAGCAGAGCTCACACCTATATTCCTCCAACTCTTCAATGAAATTGAAAGAGAACGTCCACTACCGAAGACATTCTAGGAAGCCATCATAACCCTCATCCCAAAACCAGGCAGGGACTCATCAAAGAAAGATAACTATAGACCCATTTCTTTGATGAACATTGATGCAAAACTTCTCAACAAAATTTTGGTCAATCGACTTCAACAATTCTTCCAAAAAATCATACACCACGATCAAACAGGATTCATTTCAGGGATGCAAAGCTGACCCAATATATGCGAATCAATTAATATTATTCATCACATCAAGGGGAGCAAGAATATGAACCACATGGTTATCTCAATAGATGCAGAAAAAGCATTCAACATGATCCAACACCCCTTCATGATGAAGGTTTTGGAAAAATTAGGAATCCATGGAACATTCCTCAATACAATAAAGGCTGTATATGACAAACCTACAGCCAGCATTATACTTAATGGTGAAAAACTAAACCATTTCCTCTTAACTGAGGAACAAGACAAGGATGTCCACTCTCTCCACTTCTCTTCAATCTAGTATGAGAATGCCTAGCTACAGCAATAAGACAAGATGCAGACATAAAGGGAATCCAAATAGGGAAAGAAGAAATAAAACTCTCCATCTTTGCAGATGACATGATCTTATATTTAAAGATTCACATAGACTAAACTCCCAAATTACTCAAGCTGATTCAAAACTCTGGCAAATAGAAGGGTATAAAATTAACCCCCCAAAATCAATGGCTTTTCTGTATGCCAACAATGAGAAAATTGTGGCTGAAATTAGGAAAGCAACTCCATTTGTAATAGCCCAAAAAAAAATAAAATACCTAGGAATTAACTTAACCAAAGAAGTGAAGGGCCTCTATGATGAAAACTTTAAAATCTTGAGAAAGGAAATCAAAACAGAACTTAGAAAATGGCAAAACCTCCCATGCTCCTGGATTGGAAAGATTAACATCGTGAAAATTGCAATACTTCCCAAGGCTATCTACAAATTCAACGTGATACCTATCAAAATTCCACCCTCATTCTTCAAGGAAATAGAAGAGGCAATCCAAAAATTCATATGGAACAATAAAAGACCAAGAATAGCAAAAACGCTCCTCAACGGAAAGAACACTGCTGGAGGAATGTCAATACCAAATTTCAAACTCTACTATAAAGCCATAGTAATCAAAACAGCTTGGTATTGGCATAAGAACAGACCTCAGGACCAATGGAATAGAATTGAAAACCCAGAAATGAACCTACAGACCTATAGCCAGCAAATCTTTGATAAGGGAGCTAAAACAATAGAATGGAAGAAAGACAGCCTCTTCAGTAAATGGTGCTGGCAAAATTGATTAATTAATTGTAGAAAACTAATGCTAGATCCTTATATATCCCCCTGCACCAGAATCATCTCCAAATGGCTCAAAGACCTTGAAGTCACAGCAGACACTCTGAAAACTTTGCAGGATGGAATAGGAGAAACCCTAGGTCTCCTTGGCTCAGGCCAAAATTTTCGGAATATAGATCTGGAAACACAACAAATCAAAGAAAAGTTGGACAAATGGGATTGCATGAAGTTGCAGAGCTTCTGCCTGGCAAAGGACACAGCTAGCAATATCAATAGAAAGCCCGCAGATTGGGAAAATATCTTCACTAGCCATACAACGGTCAAGGGTCTCATATCTAAAATGTACTTGGAGCTCAAAAAATTAAATCCCCCAACAACAAATCCTCAAAGAAACAACTGTCCAATAAATAAGTGGGCTAAAGACTTGAAGAGAAACTTCTGTGAAGAAGAAAGAAGGATATCCAACAGACACATGAAGAAATACT